CAGCAAAAACGCATAACAAAATTGAAAATGGTGAAAAAACGCAAAATCTACATAAATTCTACGATAAACTCAGCCAAACACAATTATATCAAAAACTGAGTTATCTACACAGATGAACTTTTCCAAACTATCTATTTATTTATGTATTTTTTTGAAACAAATTTTTAGTTATATTTTCCTGGTGGGCGTCATGTAATAAACAGTGCCCTCAAGAACGGAAGCAACCACTTAGATAGTCTACGAAGGGAGTGTGCACGTAAAATAAGTGGAGTGTCAACGGGGGCCATAGCATCATATGGCCTGGGCATATCGCTAAATGTCACTTAACATTACGGGCTCCTTCTCGATAACCCTTCATCGTCGTTAATTTATTATAAATTGGGCTGTTAATAAGGCAAGCACTGCATGATATAAGAAGTTAGTTGCAACTGGATAGCAAAACAAAACGCTAAACGGCATTCTCTTAGCTTACTCAGCTGCTTCGGGAAAAGTCATCCCTACGAAGCCATGTGACAATGTATCAGTGTACATTTCCATACCAGCACCGCATAAGTATAAATTTAGCCAGTCCGGTGTGTTTCTGGACTGAAATTATCAACCGATCGGATATTATTGATTAATATTGATCGAGCATTCACGATCGAAAAAAAATTTTTTTAGAAATAATTAGAGACGGTTACTGACTTCTCAAATGCGAAGCACACTGAATCCAGACAGAAGAACATAGAGGAATTAGCAAGCATGGACACTCACTTGTCTCAAGACACTTCTCCGCACCACCGTTATGGCAACGCAATTACTGTTAGACACTAAAGCATCTCCGAACGGTTGCACCGCCTTTAGACGTAACTATGCGAGAAGTAAACAGGACAGTGATATTAATGTGACAGGGCTTGCAAGCCGCCTGCTCTGAAGAGCAATTAATCGAGAGATAGTTAAGTGGAAGGATGAACAACGCACTCAGCAGCTTCCGTAAATGTCATTCCAACATATGAGTGGGACAGTGACTCCGTGTACATCTCCATACCGGCACCACGCAAATAGTCGTTCAGCCAAGACGGTGTGTGTGGCGACTGAAATTCGTTCTATTCAAAATCGTGTAAGGAACACTTGGGGCAAACATGCAACACGGTGACGTGCTTAGCCTTCA